ATTCATTACTTTATTGTCCTTCATATTCTAAAAATCATTTTATTTATAAATCTACAAATCGTTGTGGTTCATTGAAAATATTGAGTAGCAGCTACATGACCAACAATATTTATTAAAAAAAAATGCTATTAACGGATTAGGAAATGTCTTTTACCTTCGTACTCTCATCACTAACGATTTAATAATAATAAAAAAAAAGGTGCATTTTTGTCTCCAAATTGCTGGGTTTAAGAAAATTTAACCATTTTTTTTCACCATGGGAGCATGCATCATTAACTATTACATGCTAATCCCTAAATCTTAATCCAAAGAAAAACTTAATGGATTTCACGGACCAAGTTCAATGAGTTGGAGAATGTACAATGAGCCTAATTTATATATAAATCAATAAATTTGATGGAAAGTGAAATTAAATGTGTAAATTTAAATGTTGTTATAATTACGTAAGATTTGATGTTCTAATATAGGAACTTCAATCTTAAATCTATCCAAAAAAAAAAATAAATAAATAATGAATTATAATCACAAAGTATTGGATTTTGTAACATACATAAAACTCATACATATGTACATTCAATGAAAAACATATGTAAAATGAACTGTTTTTTACATACAATTATCTTGATTATATGTACATCATTAGAATTGAATTACAAATTTTTGAAAAGTTCAAACGATGAAAGATATTGAAGACATGAGCTTTATATTTTAAATTAAAAGATTTTTACACCTCATGACCTCTAAAAAAAAAAAACCATATAATTAAGATCAATTATATGTACATTTTATTGAGAAGATATGTATAATACACTTAAATTATATGTATATCAATACAATTTCAAGAAACAAGTTAATTGAGTAAACTTAAAATTTGTAATTAGTATGTCTGAGTTTTATATTAATCCGTCATTAATATAAAAATAAAAAATGTATTAGTTATTTAATTTAATATAAGACATTTAAGTTATATTTAATGCATAAGATGATGAATATAATAAAATGATAATAAACAAGACCTAAGTCATATTTGGTATATAAGATTATGATAGAATATGATAAGATAATATTATGAATAAGATTAGATTAAATAATATCATTTTATCTTATGTTTGATGTGTATAGAGATTAAAGTAGAATAATTTATTTGTTGATAAAAATTTTCTTCCTTAAAGTATGTATAATTTAAATTATTAATGTAATTTTTACGGGTATAATAAAATATGTAAGTTTAATGTTATTAATTAAAAATAATCTTTTACACTTTAAGAGGATTGAATTATCTTATACCAAGAGAATATAATTTTTTTTATAATGTTATCTCTTTCAATTAGATACAAATCAAATATGATATAAAATTATTATCATAATATTCTATCTATTATTTTACATATCAAACATTATTATAGGTCATGTTTCTATCTTGAAATTTTTTAAAAAATTATTTTCGAAAAAAAAAAAAAAAAACTAACTTAAAAGAGGTTTTGTGATCGAAACACCGGCTGTGCCTATAACTCTAAGAAAGATAGGAGGATGTCAATGCCCATTAGTATTTCATTTTATAATGATAGTGATTGCGGTTAAAATGCAAAAAGCAACTTTCTTTTAAGCCATTTTTGCCGCTTAGAATTTCTTTTTCAGTATATACTAGAAATTGGTACCTTGCTTCGCGTTGGGTAATTTATAAATAAAATATGTATAACAAATAATATTAATTGAATAATATTATAAAATTTATTTAAAACTTGATTCGAATCTGAATTGATTTTTTTTTAATTGTTTTGATTCGAATTAAATTTTATTGGTTTGATTCAATTTATAAGTTTTTACATTTTTTTATATTTTAATATAAATTTTAATATATTTAAATAAATTTAAATAAATAAAATAATTATTTTATTTTATAAAAAATTCAAAAATAAATATAATTTAATTCAATTACGATATTTTTGATTTTTTCATTTCTCGATTCAAAAATTCGATTTGAACCTAAAAAAATAAAATTTGATATCTAAACTTTGAACAAAACCTAATAAAAAATCGATCAAATCCGAATCATTATGATTTTTCATTGATTTTCAGTTTAAAACAAAAAAAAAAAAGACATCCGAGAAGGATATTAGATATATCTTTTGGCTTTGAAAAAAGTACGTGTGGTTTTTTTTTTTAAAAATTAAGTGTAACTTGTAATCAACCTGATTGATAAGAGGGTTTCTAAATTAACCTTGATGGGTATGAATTGAAATATTTGTAAAATCAATTTAAAAAATATATATTTTTATAAATTATCGTTTCTATGCAGCTCTTGAACGCATTGGCTAAGATGAAATATTGTAAATAATTTATTTGATTTCATACTAGACCAATTCATGCGATCACTAATTCTATTTGAATGATGGTAGCAGAAGGTACTTCCTAACTTATACATATATTTTTATATATATTATGAAGTCAAAGTAAGAGAAAGAATTTGATCTTTAAACCTATAAAAAAAGAATAAACGTTAAATCAAGTATGGATTGTTACTAAATAATCAATATCTCATTAATTATATTGCTGAAATTAACCAATAAACACAAGATTGTTTGAAAGTTTGTACAGATATCTTATTAGCTATTAGATGAATCCTGTGGCCATTTGTCCTAAAATGATATTTATAATTCGTAGCAAAATGAGAAAGTCTCTTTTTTTTTTCTAGTCAGATAAAAATCGATATAAATACTAAATATTCTTTAGGGTAAAATATACGGATAATCATTCAATTTTAAGAGACATTTGGCAAAGATCATCCAATTATTAAATTTTATGTTTTAATCACAAGCATTTGTATAATTATTTTTGGTTACGTACCATTTATATAACTATTTTTTATGATATAGACATACCATATAATCATTGATAGACCTATATAAAGGATGAGTTATTCATCTAAATTTTAAAAGTTTGTTTAAAATTTTAAAAGATTTGAACATAATTATTAAGTTAGTTAAATGAATTTAGATTTAAATTTAATATTCGATTAGAAAATGGACAGAACATTGAGTATAACATTTAAGGTTCATATTCTGCTCGTCTCGAATAACTTATATATATTTATTTTATATTTATAATTATATTAAATAAAAATAAATAGATAATTAACTAGTATAAGTGTACACATTAATACTTATGTTTACATTTACCAAACTGATCCAAACAAATTAATATCCATGTCATTTTTTAGGTTTTATTTTGTTGATTATTTATTTTTTATAATTAATATTATTATAAATTTATTTTTTATTTAAAAAATTAAAATTTGAGCGATCTTAGGCAAACTTGGATAATAAATGAGGTCTATATATTTTAGGTCAAACCGAGCTTAGGCAAATCTAAAGGTTATTGGTATCCTGTCAAAGCTCAACTTGAATTTGACCCAACTCGACTTAGGTACAAGTCTAACCATTGGCATCATGAGTGACAATCAGCATTTCATTAAAAACTAATTATGGTTGGTGACCAAACATAACACTTATACAAATATTAGTGATTAAATCATTAAATTTCATAGCTCGATGATCACAATAAAAACTCAATCCAATGTTAGACGACTATCCTGTATTTTACCCTATTCTTTAAAGTGATTTTTGTTAGCCAATTAAGTCAACCTGCAGCTGGATGCAGCTGCTTCAACTCTATAGAAGTGTTTGCTTAATTTACACTCTGAAGTAGGAACATAATTTGACAATTTTTTCTTTATAATTCATATACGTCAATAATTTTGGCGAATTCTAGGGGAGGAGTTAACTCTCCACAATTAATTATTTTTAACTTGATTTTATTTTTTTTTCCACAATGATATGTGCTTACATATTTAATGAATAAATATTCAATTTTGGTTTAGGTTATAAGTACAGCTGTAGGAATTTTATTAAATCAAATTCCTTCATGAGAAATAGAACATGAGTCGTCGTCTTTGTTTTTTTTTTTTTTTCTAAAATAAAATCGTAATTTAAAAAATATAAATTTGTTGAATGTTATTTTTTAACTATGATGACATAAAAATTGAATTAACAATCTTTTGAAGATGATTGAGATAACAAGTGCACTCTCGTATAATTAACAAATTTGTTCAACTAATCATCAGTCATTATTACAAATTAAATATGATAATTGGTTTCAAAAAATAAAAATATGATTAGGTTTAGGCCAATTTCAAAACAAAAATGACAGGTTCCTATTCTATTTGGTAAATATAGTGACAGTTACAATTTAGATATATTAAATTTTAATTTTGAAATAAAAGAAAAGAAAATATTTATATGAAAAAAGTGTGTAGGGTTATACTTATTTCAGATTACACAGTCCAAAATATTAAAATGGGGAGACGTCTTGATCTATCTCGTAACAATATACTGGAAAAATTTGCTTTAACTGATAAAATAAAAATGGACTGCGATGAATCGTCGAGAGCTGAATATTGCAAACTATGGTTTAATTTGTGGTTTGTAGGTTTAATTTTGTAATGCCATATAATTTGTTAGGGCATGTAGTGGCCGATCTTGTGAGAACCAAAATTAAAATTTAAAAGTGCCATGGAATTTAAAATCACATAAATTTCTAGAGAATGGGTACGATTTTCTCTCTGACTGCTTCAAGGTTCACACACAAAGGTGTAGCAGGAGCAAGTGGGGTGTCACATCCTCAACAAATAATATAACGTTGAGAGCATGTGGAGGTAAATTATTGGAGGTTTCGCGTATAGACCATTTTAAAATTCTTTCGGATATTGGAGAGCTTACTATATAAACCGCAAGGCGACCATTGTAGTTCACAAAATAGGAATAGAAATAGTCATTGACTAGCGTTGAAGTGCAAAGTAGTGGGAGTTTTGGTGCCATCTTCTGCCCAAAATGGCCAAGGTTTGGCCATACCTAGCCTATGCCTTGGCATTGTGCTTGATAATCAACAATGTAGCTGCCGACTATGAGCCTTCCTATGTACCACCTCCATACGTATACAAGTCACCTCCACCACCTCGTACGTGTACAAGTCACCTCCACCTCCTCCATATGTTTATAAGCCACCACTACCTCCTCCTTACATATACAAGTCACCTCCACCTCCATATATTTATAAATCACCACCACCTCCTCCATATGTGTACAAGTCACCTCCACCTCCTCCATATGTGTACAAATCACCTCCACCTTCTCCATACATTTATAAATCACCACCACCACCTCCGTATGTATACAAGTCACCACCACCCCCTCCATATATGTACAAGTCACCACCACCTCCTCCATATGTCTACAAGTCACCTCCACCTCCTCCATATGTTTATAAGCCACCACTACCTCCTCCTTACATATACATGTCACCTCCACCTCCATATATTTATAAATCACCACCACCTCCTCCATATGTGTACAAGTCACCTCCACCTCCTCCATATGTGTACAAATCACCTCCACCTTCTCCATACATTTATAAATCACCACCACCACCTCCGTATGTATACAAGTCACCACCACCCCCTCCATATATGTACAAGTCACCACCACCCCCTCCATATATGTACAAGTCACCACCACCCCCTCCATATATGTACAAGTCACCACCACCTCCTCCATATGTCTACAAGTCACCTCCACCTCCTCCATATGTTTATAAGTCACCACCACCTCCTCCATACATATACAAGTCTCCTCCACCTCCGCCATATGTTTACAAGTCACCACCACCTCCCCCATATTACAAGTAACCTCCACTCTATCTCCTCGACTAAAGGCCCCCTTATATCCACAAGTTTCCACCACCACCACCACCATTACCATCACATCTTTCTCCTTAAACTACTCCACCATTTTCTTCTCCACCTCCTCCCTCTCCTTTGGACAATAAATCACCACCTCCTCCTTACTATGTGTATTACTATTTCTACTTGGTTAAAGGAAGCCTAATTATTTAATAATTCAGAAGCAGTTCTTTATGAAGTTTCACTATCATTTCCTTTACCTAAGATTGATGTATGTGGTTATTGTTGAAGTCATAAGAGAAAGCATATTGCTACAGGAAGTCATCCGTTGGTTTCTCGCATGCCCTATGATTACTCCACCTGAGGGTAGAGGATTTGCTTATGTTCCTCTAAGAATATATATTTAATTTTTATGATTTTATATCGTCACGTGTTCTTGCATCAATTATGGTATGTTGTGTGCTTATATACCAGATAAAAAAATGTAATTTGAAGTCTCAATTCCAATTCCAAATTCTATCCATCTCTATATTTCTGATCTCTTGCTCGGGCAATCGCTATGATTTAATACAAACATTCAAATTGCCAAAACAACTTGGTTTATCGAATCAAAGAAACTAGTTAAATAAAAAAATGAGATGCTAAAGCTTTGGTGCATTAATTCTAGATGCTTTTCTGAATAATGACAGATAAACAAATATGTTTTGTGGCAAAGCGTAAGCCAACAAATATCTTGATCGGTAGAAACATGAGTCAGTTTATATATATATATGTATATATATACACACACATATATATATATTATATATATGTGCTTGGAAGCAGTTAATGAATAAAAATAAAAAAATTAATTAAATTACTTGCCGAGACTACTATGATATAATAAGAGAAGAAAATAACAAACAGCTCACAGGAAGCAACAGCAACTTAAAGTTTCACCTCGTCATTACTCTCTTCTTGCAAAACCAACTTAGTGTGTGCAGCATCAATACTTATATGCCAATGATTATTATTATTTTTTTATCTAATATAAGATTAAAGCATTTTATCTACTCCTTTAGAGCGCTTGGTGGAACACAATCAACAGCAGCCAACAGCAACCACCACGACCAAGTCAGTAAGCAGCAGCAGGTTAAGTCAAAGCTTGGCTTATGTTGTAAATTTAAGTTAGTTTAAAATGTAGATAACTATAGTTTAAATTCAAAAATATTAAATGAGATAAGCTAACTTCATATCTCTTGTACTTTGTACATATTCGTACATTGTGATTAATGAAAAACAAGTTCAAACACAAAAACTTCATTTCTGATAGAAAAAATTCATCTTCATATCTAACCCGTTATTGTTTGTTGGTTCATCAATAACATTTAAGGCCAATAACCAAACAAGACGATAGTTTGTTGACCAAATAATTTTTCAAAACAAACTTCTCCAGTTAAATTTATTTAAATCTAAGTTTAATAGAAGGTTAGCGAGTTCTAATATGTGGGTTAATCAATGGAGTTGCACTTAAAACTGCCCCAGTTTACTACATCCAATAATTTTAAAAGCATATTGCTCCAACTAATATATATTTTATTATTTTTCCCTCTGGCATCGCAGGTTAGGACATGTTTCTTGTAGTTAGTGGCAAGTTAGGTATGTTAAGTCATAAATATCCAATAATTGTATCAGCTGCAACTACCAAACAGTCTGTTTTACCTTTCAATAAAAGTGAGTCAAGTTTTTTTTTTCTTTTGATCTTGTTCATTCTGATGTGTGGTGCCCATCTCGTTTACCTACTATGAGGGGTTCTTGTTATTATGTTATTTTTATTGATGATTATTTGAGGTACACTTGGATTTATTTGTTTCGGTATTATTCAAATTTGTTTAAAATTTATCAAGATTTTTATGCTATGATCAAAACACAGTTTTCTAAAACAATTAAATGTTTTTGTGCTAATTCTACTAGGGAATATCAATCAAGTAATTTAAAAGAGTTTGTTGCTTCTTAAGGTACTATTCTTGATCATCTTATACTAATAACACCACAGCAAAATGGTGTTGTTGAAGAAAAACATCATCATATCATGGAACCACTAGTCTTGTTGTTATCTTCATTGGTTTCTAAGAAATTTTGGGGGGAAGCTGCACTTACTTCAGTTAATGTTATTAATCATATTCCTTTTTCTGTCATTGGTGAAATTTCTCCTATTGAACATTTGTATAACAATACTCAATTATTTTGAGCTTTGTGTTTTTTTGTTTTACATGGTTTGTTTCACTTTCCAAAGTTCAATGTAATAAATAATCTTGAAAAACTACAATTTGTGTATTTTTAGGTTATGGTATTGGACAAAAATGATATCATTGCTATGGTCTTATTGCAAAAAACTTTCGTGTTTCTCAGCATGTTACTTTTTGGGAAATTATTCAATGTATTCATTGCCTCATTTTCAAAAATCTACCATGATCTTCATGAGTCTTGTCTTTTCTTTTTTTTTTGATAATTTTTTGTTGATTTAAATTACTTTAATCAATCTTCTCATATGTCTCAAAGTTCTCCAACTCTTCAGCAGATTCATCCAAATGAAGCTTGTTCCCATCACTGACTCTATCATAAGTAATACTTCACCACCATTGTCTAATTCATTAGAGCTGTCCTGTCCCAAACTTAGATGTTCAACATGTGAGCGAATTCCTTTTAAACGTTATCATGATTTTCATTGTTTTTTATCTACTATTTTTTTTTGTTTATGAACCTAATCTTATCATGAAACAAGTTCTAATCCTTTTGGCAAGCAGTTATGAAAGAAAAATTAGATGCCTTAGAGAAACTCATACTTGGGATCTTGATGATTTACCTCTTGTAAAATCTATAATAGATTGTAAGTGGGTGTACAAGGTAAAGACTAAATCAAATGGGTCTATTAAGAGATATAAAGCCAAGTTGGTTGTAAAAAGATTTACATAGGAGTATGGCATTGACTATGAAGAAACCTTTGCTCTTGTAGCTCGAATGACTTCTGTTAGAACTCTTATAGCTATTGTTTCTATTTGAGGATGGGCTTGATCACAAATGGAATTAAAAAATGCTTTCTTGAATGGAGATCTTCGTGAAAACGTTTATATGAAGCCTTCTCCTAGATTATCTTGCCAAACTAATCAAGTGTGCAAGCTTTGACGAGCTTTATATCATTTTAAACAAGCACTGCATGCTTGGTTTGAGAAATTCAGCACTATTATGCTTGACTTTAGATTTGTGCAGAGTCCATATGATTCAACATTGTTTATTCGTTGATCTGAAAAACGTATTGTATTTTTGCTTATGTTGATGATATGGTGATAACTAGAGATGATAACCTTGATATTTAGAATATAAAAAATTATCTTAGCAAAACCTTTGAGATGAAGGACCTCTCATCTTGGTATTTAGAATATAAAAAATCATTTTAGCAAAATGTTTGAGATGAAGGATCTTGGTCCATTACGATACTTTTTAGGAATTGAAGTTGATTGTTCCTTTTATGGATATGTCTTGTCTCAGGTGAAATATGCTTTTGATCTTATTTCTAAAGCTGCTTATCTGATAATAAAATTTTTGACACATCTTTTGAAACTAATGTCAAAATAAAAGCTATTGATGGAGAACTTCTCAATGATGCTATTTTGCATAGACAGTTGTTTGGTAGTCTTATATATTTGACAATTACAAGATCTGAATATTAGTCATGCAATTCAAGTTGTAAGCCAATTTATGGTAGCACCTCGGACAATTTACTTTGCTGCAGTTCTTAGGATATTGAGATATTTTGCGAGGAATGCTACATAAAGGTTGCTATTCTCATCAACTTTTAAACTTGAACTTCATGCTTTTTTTTTTTATTCTGATTGGGTTGGTGATGTTAATGATAGACATTCTATAACTGGTTATTGTGTTTTTTTAGGTGGTTCTTTGATATCTTGGAAAAGCAAAATGTAGATAGTTGTGGCACATTCAAGTGTTGAAGTATGGCATAGAACTTTATCAGACACTATAGCAAAAATTATGCTGTTGTATTGGTTACTTATGGATTTAGGTGTTGACACACCTACACTTATTCCATTCTTTTGTGATAGTAAGAGTTCAATTCAGATTGCTCACAATGATATTTTTCATGAACAGATGAAACATATTGAAATAGATTATCATTTTATCAAACAGAAGATATGTAAAGGCACCATAATGCTATAGAATATTTCTTTTGAATCACAAGTGGCAGATCTTTTACAAAGTCTCTTTTAAGTTCACATTTTTGTTATTTAGTTTCCAAACTTCAAATGTTTCATTCGAACCATTTTCAGTTTGAGGGGGTTGTTGAAATGTATTATGTTTAATTGACTTATAAGATTGCGCTTTATTTTTGGATATATCTCATGAGCTTTAAATCCATTTATACATTTGTATATATGTATTTTACAATCATAGAAATAATATTGATTTTTCACTCTTCAAGTCATCACTTTGAACTATAATAAATAATAAAATATTTAATATTGTACATGAACTATAAATATGTTAACTAATATGGTACTTAAAAAGTTATTTATTCGACACATATTATCATTTAAAACTAACCACATTAGGGTGAGTAACACATTAGTTATAAATTCATAATTTAAGTACTAAATTAAAAATTTTAAAAATTCAAATACCATATTAAATATTTTACTATAATTTAAGAACCATTCATGACATTAATTTTTTTCCCTTGTATTTTCAAATTGGACACAATAATGAGTTTTGGTGCAATATATATTATTTTGGTGTAAAAAGAATATGATTGGTATTACATTGGTTAAAATATTAAAATAAGTCAGTAGTATTTAATTAAATTAATATGCGAATCCTTTCAAAAAATATAAAAGAAAAAAAAAACTAATGGTGATGAATTTGAAGGTCAACTACACAAACATAAGTTTTTTTTTCTTATTTAATTATTACCTGTTGAGGTGTAAATTAACCTTGACAATTTCTTCTTTAAT